TCGCCAATGTGCCTACTTCAATGCCAGCAGATCACGGTAGAACCGACTCAAACTCATCGGACGCTTCATCGGAGACTGAGCGAACAATCACCAGCCCAGGTGGATCAGTACCAGACCGCATGGACATGCCTCAGGCCAAGTTGTCCAAACTAGCAAGCACTGGTATTCTCAGGGTTGCAAAGGATGCAGATGGACGGGCATCGTATTCCACCGAAGTGCGACTTCGCAACAAAGACGGTGACTACAGGTGGCATCTGGTCAGGATCTTGTTAGAGAATTCACTCTCTGAAGACGGCGATGAAGAGACCTGGTATGGCACAGCTACCGACATCAATGACCACAAGCTGCTCGAGCAGACGTTGAAGGAAACCATGGATGCAAAGTCCAAGTTCCTCAGTAACATGTCTCATGAGATCCGTACTCCTCTGAACGGTATCTCTGGCATGGTCAACTTCCTGCTTGACAGCACGCTCAACTCTGAGCAGTTGGAGCATGTCAACATCATAAAAGCTAGTACCGACAGTCTGCTGAACCTCATCAACGACATTCTCGATCTGTCAAAGGTCGAAGCCGGTATGATCAAGCTGTCCATGGAATGGCTCCATCTGCCGTCGCTTCTTGAAGAGGTCAATGACTTGAATATGGGCTTAGCCATACAGAAAGGCCTTGAACTCAACTACCTTGTGGACGAAGGTGTGCCAGCAGAGGTCAAGGGTGACAAGTTCCGCATTCGCCAAGTTCTTCTCAATGTGGTTGGCAATGCAATCAAGTTCACCGAGCGAGGAGAGATCTTTATCCGATGCAGATTGCAACCACCCGATCGATCTCGGCCCCTGCGAGACAACGAGACCATGGTTCGGTTCGAAGTGGTGGACACCGGTCAAGGCTTCACAGATGCTGAGGCCAAATACTTGTTCAAGCGATTCAGTCAGATCGACGCCAGCAGTACCCGGCAACATGGCGGAACAGGACTCGGCTTGGCTATCTCTATGCAGTTCGTGGAGCTACATGGAGGTAGAATGGATGCACGAAGTGCGCCAGGCAAGGGTTCGACTTTCTTCTTCACGATCAAGTTTGGGCTTCCCACTGCCGACGACTTCCCCAGGCCGCAGGTGTCGACACCAGGCACGCCAGCTTTTGAGACACCGCTGGCAGTGCCAGCAGTGCCTCCACTACCCCAGCCCTCGGCTCTGCAGAAATTTGTTCAGTCACAAAATCCTAGCCAAGCACCGATCAAGCGCGTATCAAGCGTCTCCTCGGACAAGAGCGAACCTGTCAGGTCGCCTGCATCTAGTCTGTCAGCCTCTGAGCGTTCGCGCGACTCTCCGTCCCTCTCCTCTGGTAGCTCGGATCACTCTTTGACAAGTGCCGCTCTTACTGGACAGTCGAGCTTGCGTTCGGAAAGATCTTCTGCGTCTTCGTACCTGCAAGAAGCCAGCCCAGCTTCAGACCCGGATATCAAACTAGCTCTGCCACCCAAACGAACCGATAGCGAGGAAGCCCCCAAGCCAGACTCTTCCACCTCCATCAATTCGGACAAGACCCTCCGTGCGTCTTCGCCCCATCGTAGTCTGTCACCGCTTGGCAGTGCTCTACAACCTCCCATGTATTCTATTCTGGTGGTGTGCCCACTGGAGCATAGTAGGGAAGCTACGATCCGACACATCAGGAACACACTTCCTCAAGGGATACCTCATCAAGTGACGGGTCAAGCTAGCGTCATCGAGGCGCAGAAGATGATGGGCGGCGACAATCCCGTGCTATTCACCCATGTTGTTCTCGTGCTGCACGACACTGCCGAGGTGCACGCCATCGTGGACCAGATCTTCAGCTCCATGGCGTACGGCAACACATCCGTCGTCGTAGTCTCGGATCCATCACAGAAGAAGGAGCTAATCAAAGAAGCACCGGTCTATGACTACGAGCAGCTTCACATGGATCGACGCCTCCAGTTCATCTACCGGCCTCTCAAACCTTCGAAGTTTGCCATCATCTTTGACCCACAGAAGGAGCGTGAGTCTAGCACGGATCGCAATCAAGACAGCGCACAGCAGGTCGTTGTCAGCCAAAAGCTCGTCTTTGAAGAACTCAAGCGTCGCGTGGGTGGCAAGAACCACAAGGTCTTGCTGGTCGAAGACAACAAGATCAACCAAACGGTTAGTGGCCTCTACATGTAACTTCTTGCGCATACTGATAGTCTTCAGGTCATCTTGAAATTCCTTGCCAGGATCGACATTGAAACAGAGACGGTACAGGATGGTGTTCAAGCTACCGATACCGTCTTTGCAAAGCCACCCGGCTATTACTCGATCATCCTCGTAAGTAGCAACGTCTGTTTCTTTCGGACAGTACTAACGTCGTCCAGTGTGATCTACACATGCCCAACAAAGACGGGTACCAAGCTTGCAAAGAAATACGGCGGTGGGAGAAGAAGCATAGCTACCGCCGCCACCCTATCATCGCGCTCTCTGCGAACGTCCTCGGTGATGTTTACGCAAAGTGCGTGGAAGCAGGCTTCAACTCTTACGTCACGAAGCCGGTGGAGTTCAAAGAACTCTCTCTTGCCATGACCAAGTTCCTGGATCCGGCCGACCCTTCGAAACAGCCTGCTCTCATGAAGAAGAAGTGAGAGTGGGTGACTTTACCTTTACGCACACGTACACATTGTATCGAGGCACGGTACTCGATTTTGCTCCTACCTGCATCAGCGAACGGCGCAGTTGGGGAGCCACTGGACGTGCTACTAGGCACACCGAACATGACAGTGGTCCACGTTACTACCATCGCACTAGAGGCGCTGGTTGTTACATGGGATGCTTCTCGCATCTCATATCCTTAGTTTGGTTATGCAGTTGGATTGTTAATGGATGTAATGTTTTCAAGGCGAATGCATGAGCATTTGACGGCGTATTGTTACTTTGGAGCGAACGCAGCTGGTGGAGGATGATTCCCCGTGGTATGGTTCATTAGGCGGCATTATGGCAGCAAACTCTGCCTTGGGATAGAAAGAGGGGGGATATTATACATGGACTTGATACCTCAACACGCAGCGGGGATGACTATGCTGACGCAGCGCTATGGATGAGCGCGAACTTGTACAATAGCAACGATGTAACGGAGACGAGAACATATTCAAACCACCAATACCGATGCTCAGCTTCCTCATTTGCGTCTGGTGGTGCGATGAAGATGTCTCACGCGACCGTTGCGGACGCGCTAGACATGCATCTCGCGTCAAGAACGCCTTCTCCACCCCCCAAAACCCGCAATGCAAACATCACCACTTTCTCCACGCTTTAGTCATCTCGGCGCTGATTGGCCGGAGTTGGATGCATCTGACATCCGCATCGCGCTAATTGGTGGATACGAACAGGGGTTCGTGTTGTCGTCATTGTCTGCCGGAGCTTCCTCATCGCCTAAAGTCCGAAGCGCACCCCTCAGACACCTGTCGCAGGCTGCCACTTTATCCTTCGACCTTCTCTAGAGTCTCAGGCTATTCATAGCATCGCGTTTGAGTTTCTACATCACAGCATGGCTTCTGCGACGGGAATTCCACCAAATGCCGCCGCGGCGCGCGGACAGAGTGAACAAGAGCCGCTTCTAGGCAGAAGAGGAGATGCGAGCCAGATGCATGGGCAGCCTCTCTACCATAACCTGTGGATCGGTATGTGCTGTCAAGCATACGCTGTCAGGAAGAAGTCTAACAGACCCAGGCACCGCTCCAATCGCGCAAGCAGGAATATGGATTGTAAGCACCTCGACACCTCGACTACCACGCCCATACTAACGCGTCGAAAGCTCGCAGCCATCATATGGGGAGCCATCTTCTCCAACAAACTCATCTTCTTCTCCGCCCACCCAGTAAGCCCTATACCTACGTCCCAAACCTCGTCCACCACCGACTAACCAACCCAACCACGCAGCTTCTCAACTCCGTAAGCCACAACACCACCCTAATCACCCCCTCCCGCCAACCGTATCATTGATACCCCCTAGGCCGGCTTCCTCTTAGCCATCCAAGCAGCCCTCGTCCTCCAACCAACCCACACCCCCGAACAAAAGCGCGCCGGCACCCTCGCCCACTTCCTCTTCCACGCGCTCGGCGCCTCCGCCCTCACCGCCGGCCTCATCATCATCGAAATGAACAAAGCCGGCCCGGGCCACGAACACTTTGAATCCGCGCACGCGCGCCTCGGCCTCACCTTTTACATCCTTGTGTACATTCAGGCGATTGTGGGGTTCACGCAGTATTATGTGCCACAGCTTTATGGCAGTGTGGAGAACGCGAAGAGTATTTATAAGTATCATAGGGTGGCGGGTTATGTTATTGCGGTGTTGGGGCTTGCGACGATTTGCGCGGCGACGTGGACGACGTATAATTTGAACTTGGCGCATGTGCAGCATTGGGCTGTTATTGTTGCTAGTGTGTTGGTGCTTGTGGGGGTTGTGCCGAGGATTAGGTTGAGTAAGTTTGGGATTAAGACGGCGGAGGGGGAGGTGAGGTTGCAGTAGATGGCGAGGGTATGAATATACCTGAGGGCAATCATTTGACGAGTCATGCAAATGAAGATAGGACTAGTTAATATTGCTGATAGAGGTACATGTTTGGACGATTGAGGTGGTGTTGCATGGTCAGGCGTCTTGGAATATGTCGTGTACTCACTGTGCTTTATCTCCAGCTGTAGGGTGAGGGTATATTATCACAAGAAGGCCATGGCACAAGTCGCAGTCTATGCTAAGATCTTCTTCCATTTCACTACTCTCTAGAAGTCTAATAGCCAGGTGGTTTTCGGTCCTGTTGGCTTGTTCCACCTTAGGTCCGGACCATGTTGTCGTATCTTCTTTACCACACACTGAACCATAATGTTGTGCTGAAGGAGCTGCAGGAAGTACTTGAACGCCGTAATTTTTAATCGACTGAGCAACGATAACGCGGGCGTCAGTACTGGTGGGGTTGATGAGGGAAGGATCGAGGTGGTCTTGTACAGCATTGTGCTCTCCTACCGCATTCCAAAGCCGTTGCGTTGAGAAGCCGGATATACTTGAGTCTTGAGTAGACCATATGCTAGACCGTTGAACTCGGTCAAGAGTGCCTCAATCTCCGGCTTCTCCAAGAGGGCCTTCATGTGGGCGGCGATAGTGGCAGAGATGATGTCCCGCAGACCCTTGTCCTGATCCGGTGTGGTAGAGAATGCATAGTGAGCTGCAATTCCGAAAGTAGGCGCTTCCCACAACAGCTTGCAGGCCTGACTGAACTTTTCTTTGACGAGCTCTTTGAGTTCCGGAATATAGTACTTGTCGGCGATCTCGTACATCTTAGCGTGCACGAGAAGCTCGTCGGGTTCTCCTCTGAAGGGCTCACATGTGCGGCAAGTGAAAGCAGTGCAGTCGCTATTGCAATCAGTTCTGCAGGTATGATGGTGGCAGACTTTTGTCTGACATCCTGAGAAAGTATGTTTACAGGTGTGTGGGAACTGTGGTTCGCTGATTCCTGGTCTGTTCCTCAAACTGGGGGGGACGTAACCTTCCGTAAGACGCTCAGATCGAGGGACCAATGCAGTGATCTTTTTGGGCGTCTTCGGAAACGCAGAAGAGGCCGGTGGTTTCGCTGCACTAGGCTCATACTTGCCCTTGTATATCCAATGAAATAAGAGGTTGACGATGGCTGGTTCATCATCGGGAAGATCGACGGTGCTCTCGTTGGCTTCCTATAGACGTGTTAACGAAAAGCCAATAACCTAGGTACTTCACATGCTGATAAACTTGCCTTGCCGCCAAATTTCATAGCACGAGCGAAGAATTCCACACGCGAACACACAATGTTCTTGTGAACCTTGTATGTATCGGAACCGCAGGTCACAGTGAGGTCAGAAAACGCGCCGGTAACGAGCAAACTGGAGGCTGTTAGCTTCGATTTTGGTCAGTTCTTGGGATCACACTTACTTCCTGACCGTCGTAAGCACTTCGTCCTGCGCAGCTTCCTCCATCTTTTTCTTGATCGCGATTTCAGTGTGGGGTGAGAGAGGAAACCGAGGATGTAGAGGATGGTTCTACCCAAACTTTTGCGGCCGGCGCAACGTTACTCCGGGCTGTTTAAGTCACGTAGTGAAGGTGAAATGATGGCGCCATACAAGAATACATCAACTAGTAGGATGGCTTGAACCCATCGTCTTATCTAGATATCAATATCTCCAAGCCAACGGGGTAGCGGCCGTTTCCCGCCAACCAAGCCAGATTTGCCGACTTCATCTCAAACCCACATACGCCAACCCGCTCCCGACTTCTTCTTTAGCAAACCGTAGGCCAAACCGTTGAACTCGACGACCAGATCCTCTATCTCAGGCTTGTGCAACAAATCGAGATGATCGCAGAGCGTGGCACTGACGAGATCGCGTAAGCCTTTATCGTGGTTTATCGTGGTAAGGCGTGCTAGTGAAGACGTGGCGCACCGCAGCAGGGAAGAGGTCGTCATCCCAGAAATGACCGCAGGATCTGCGAAACTTCTCTATCACTAGGTCTTTGAGCCCAGGTACGTCGTATTTGTCCGCGATTTGATACATACTGGAATGAAGAAGAAGCTGATCGGATGCGCCGTTGAGAGGAAGTGGTGGAGGTGTTTCGTTGCACTTCTTGCAAACGAAGTTCTCACAGCACTCAACATCCGATTCATAACCATTTCTACTTTCTTGATAGTTGCATGTGTGATGCGGGCAGTTTTTGTAGTGAGTGCATGCACCGTCGGATGTATTGTCGGCGCAAGTATGAGGGAACTCGTAGGTATAAGGCCCATGTTCATACTCGTTGGGTTGAGGACGGAGTGGTTCAAGATTGGCGGATGATTTGGTGTCGGGTAGTAGCGGTGCATACTCTCCTTCATACAAATACTGAATCAAGAGCTTGACAACAGCCCCATCGTCTTCCGGAAGGTCGATAACACCGTTCTACGACTCCTTCTCGAGTGGTCAGTTCTCATTCATTGCACGATGTATTGGATACTAACCTGTCCACCAAATCTGAGCCCACGCGCGAAGAAGTCAAGCCTTTCGCAAACAACCGCTTTGTGAACTTTGTACGTGTCACTGCCACACGTGATGGTGAGATCAGAGTATGCGCCGGTCTCGAGTAAGCTATACAATCCCATAGTCAGTGTCATTCTACGCCATGGTGGGGGGAAGAGAGTTTGCATGGATTGACATACCCCTTGAACGCACGGAGAGCCTGCTTCTTAGCCACTCCCGCCATTGTCGTCGCTGTTTGTGGTTTCGAGTTTGGAAGAGAGATAGAAATAAAGCGCCCCTAGGATACAGCGAAAAGTTATTTATGGAAGTCTTACAATTAGCGGGAAGTTACTGCGCTGCAATCCAAAGACGAGGTGAAGGCGAGTGGGGACCTTGGCACAACAGAATTTGGGTACAGCGGAAGCGCGAGGTGCTTTCTGCGAGCAGGTGAGAGACAGATAGACGAGCCTGTGGCAACAATCGTGTCGATTAACGTCTAGTGCTGCTAAAAAAGATCTCTGACTGACTGTTACTAATTTACAATCTCGCCTCAACCGCCGTCCCTTGCGACTGCTGCTCCTGCGTCCGCCCTTGATCCTTCTCCCGTATCGCCTCCTCGAAGATCTGCATAAACCGCCAAACATCACTAAAGGTGTTGTACATTGGTACCGGCGCAACACGAATGATGCCTGGTTTCCTCTTGTCGCAGACAACACCGTTCTCCACTAGCGCCGCGCTCGCATCGTCGAAGACATCTTCTGGAAGCAGCACACTCAGTTGAGCGCCGCGGAAACGAGGGTCTGTGGGTGTGATGATCTCGAAGGGGAATTTGCCGTCCTTGATGTTGCGCGCCGCGATCTGAGAGAGCAGGTGCTCAGCGTATGCGGTCAACAGTAGAGATCGTGATCGCAGGTCAGCCATGGATGTCTTCTCAAATACACTGAGTGAGCCAGCCAAGCAGGTGAGGTCAACGATCGATGGGTTTGAGCATTGGAAGCCCTGCGCGCCGGGTGTAGGAACGAACTTGTTGTCCATGAGGAAGCGTGATGACTTGTCGTGGCCGTACCAGCCCTTCAGCCCCTTGTAGTGGTCGTTGTTGCCGTGCTTCTCGTGGATGAAAGCACCGGCGATAGAACCGGCGCCAGCGTTCATGTACTTGTACGTGCACCAGCATGCGAAGTCGACATCCCAGTCGTGTAGCTTCAGCTCGGCGTTGCCTGCGGCGTGTGCTAGATCCCATCCGATGGTGATGTTGTGCTTGCGTGCGTGTGCGGTGATGGTGGGGATGTCAAGTAATTGGCCGCTGTAGTATTGGATACCGGGCAGCATGATGAGAGCCAGTTCATCGACGTTCTCGTCAATGAGCTTGAGGATGTTCTTTGTAGTCATGATGTAGCCATCATCTGGCTCGACCAACAGCATGGACTTCTTCGGGTCAAGGCCGTGCCATTCTATTTGCGACTCGATCGCATACCAGTCGCTGGGGAAAGGTCGCCACTCGCACATAATCTTGTGCTTCTTCTCTGTTGGCTTGTAGAATGCAGCCATCATCAGATGCAGGTTGATGGTCAATGTGTTCATGGCAACGATTTCTGAAGGGGATGCGCCGACGATGTCAGCCATCTTCTTCGAGCACCCAGCAGCCATGTCCTGGTAGGGTGTGAGCGGCGAGTCCTCGAGGGCGGTGAAATGACCGCCAACAGCGATTGATCCCCATGTCTTAAGGTACGCGTTCAAGTGTTCGCCAACAGCTTTCGGTTGCAGTCCCAAAGAGTTACCGCAGAAGTAGATGGCCTCGTCGTCTGGTGTTGATGCAGGGTTGGCGGTTTGTGCGTCATCGTTCAGGGTTTTCCGCTTTAGCTGCGCTTTGCTGGGAACAACAAACTCGGGTCGGAACGTCTTGGGAATGTCTGCATTTTGGTCGAGCGAATGCGCAAAGTCTCCTGATTCGGCGTTTGTTGGCCACTGTGGCTTCTGCCCTTGGCGAAGCTGTTGGATTGCTGCAGATGCGTCCATGGTAATGATGTGCTGTCGGTAAGGGTATGTCTTGGGGAACCAACGAGATGCAATGTGATGTACGAATGTCAGAATGATACTGAGATGACGGCGTCAGACTATATATGCATCACGATCTGGCCATTACGTCTCCAAGCAAGAGGCTTGAGGCTTGCATCAAACTAAGCTTGCACCTTCTTCATTGGGGTGTCGGACTCTCATCCGACAACGCTTCCGTCATTCCGAGCTCGGAAGACTATCGGAACGCGACCGTGGGTTGAGTGTGGACCTCGCTCTTCAGCGCAATAAAGCAGGAGTTCGCCGCTACAAGGAAGGACGTACCCTTCCGATATTACTGTGCAACCTTACCGTCGCTACCTTTTCCGCCGCAATGAGTCCTCACAAGATTCCCGTCCTCCCATCACCCGATGCACTCCCTAATTACGGCATCTCAAAGAACGGGTTCTTACCTGCCGAGCCACCACTAAGACGCTTACCGCATACCTACTATCAACCATGGGAGACGATCGTTGAGCAACTTCCAACCCTCATAGAGACACAACAAATACGGCAATGGGTTGACGAATTGCCCGTTCTCGATACGTCGCATCTCTCCAGTGAGGCAGAATGGCAGAGAGCACACTCGATGCTCGCTGTCATAGCCCAGGGCTACATATGGGCAGGTCCCGAGCCATCAGAGGTATGTCAGCATGAAATCGCAGTACCTTAAAGTCTCCAGTCACTAACAAGGAAGCTAGCGACTACCCCCAGCGATCACTGTGTCGTTCCTTCAGACTGCCGACTATCTTGAGGTGCATCCAGTGGCCACATATGCAGCTCTGAACTTATGGAACTGGACACCACTCGACGAAGACGCCGACTTGACGCAACCGGAGAACATGGTTGCACTACACACAGCGACGGGAACCGATGATGAGTCGTGGTTCTTCATTATTTCGAATGCCATGGAAGCAAGAGCAGGCCCGTTGATCGAGGCCATGCTTGGTGCTATTGAAGCTGTCGAGACTGATGATGCCACAACGATCATACACGCCCTGCAATACTTCCGACAGGGAATGCAGCGCATTGGCCAGCTCTTGGAACGCATGGATGAGCGGTGTGACCCGCAGATGTTCTACCACACCATCCGACCTTTCCTGGCTGGGAGCATGAACATGGCGAGTGCCGGTCTACCAAACGGCGTTTTCTACGACGAAGGTAACGGAAAAGGCACATGGCGCGCTTATCGTGGTGGTTCCAACGGCCAGTCTTCGCTGCTACAATTCTTCGATGCGGTTCTCTCTGTCGACCATTCGAGAAGCGGCGGCTTTCACGCAGAGATGCGTGGGTACATGCCCGGGCCCCATGCCCGCTTTCTTGACGATGTCCAAGCAATCGCAAATATTCGAAGCTACGTCGATAGTCATGCAGACAACACTGAGCTTCTGACCGCATTCAACGAAGCCGTCGCGGCGCTCAGCGGCTTCCGCGACAAACACATCGCCTTGGTGACCAGGTACATCATCATACCGAGCCGAATGGGAAAACCCACTACCGGTCCCAAGAGACGAGATATAGCTTCCGCCTCGACGGAGTTGGCGGCCGAAAAGCCGAAGACGCAAGAGTTGGTCGGAACTGGAGGCACCAAGCTGATACCGTTTCTGAGAACATCGAGAGACGAGACTAGTGAAACAAAAGTCGTGCATTGAAGTGTCTTGGGAGAGAATTTGAAGAAGAAACCCACTCGTGACGCCATCCCATCCATCTCGAACTTACGGGAAGAAGTCACCGCCCATCTGCTGGTCGTGGATGGGAAAAAGCGGTATGTCAGCCACGGATACGCCATCAAGGTTGTGAGTGCCCGGCTGCAAGAAATCCTGGAGACCCTGATCGTTCTCACTCGGCCATGGCATGGCAAAGAAGTCGGCATCGTATATAGTCCAATCGAGTGGCGCTGCGGAAGACACGTGGCGCTGAACGGAGTCTCGGGAGACCAGCGACCCGTGGCCGAGCTGTGCGTCGCATTCATCCACTTGGGCCGCGATGTTAGTTGACTCTCCAGGCAATAGGCCAAACAATTCCGACGATGCTTGCTTCCTTTTACGGCGCAGATGCAGCTCTCTCTTCTTGGCATGTGCAGTGGTAATCTTGAGCAGCGATTGCGCGACCTGTGAGTATTGCCGGGCATGAGGGTCGACTTGACCAAAGTAGTCCATGCAAGTGATTGCATCTTTGCAGCTGTCCACTAACATAAGTCCCGAGTCCCCAAGAATGCCGACAGCAAGAACAAGTGTAGCCGTAAAGAGCCAGGATCTGATACCTGTTAGCCTACTCAATAGGGCAAGATAGCTTTACTTACACTATCAGTGGCATCTTACGAGGCAACTGCTTTGTAATCGTCACGACTAGCAGAGTATCCACTAACGTCGACGCGGCATCAAGTGCAGCATCTGCGTACTTGCGCTTCTCTTGGTGATCAGCTTGTGAGCCTCCGCTCTTTAGAGGAGCGCCCATGTACTCATATAACTCGTAGATGAGGAAAGGTCGGGTAAGTAGCATGATGCCGTAGTAATAGGAGCAGAGTGTGGAGCAAGCACCCACTACGGCTTCTCGAGAATGAGGTCTGGTCGTAAGATGAGATAATTTCTGCAGCCATTTGGACGCCCAGCTCTTCAACTGTCGCGAAACATAGTCTGCAATGCGTAATGATATGCGTTTGCGAGAGTACACTTCAACGACGACACGCTCAATAATCATGAAGATCTGGACGCTGGCATCCAGTATATTGGCATCATCGGTTTCGGTGTTGTCTTCAAAAGTGTTGTATTTGACGGTGCAATCGACATCTGATGTGGACGGAGGTCGGCCTAATGCGTTGCTACATGGGGAAGCAGAGGATCAGCATATACTACCAGAGTGAAGCTGTGCAGACTCCGCAACGTGTGAGACTTTGGTTGAGGACATCTGTAGTTGTATCTTACCTTATCAACTGGTCGGTGACGCGAATGCTCTTCCAAATCCGGTCTCGCACCAGCTTGATGGTTTCGCCAAAGGATGCGTTCACTTCCGTTCGGTGTATGCCGATTGCATATGCGGCACGCGCAGCCAGGGCTGAAACAAGTTAGCGTATTATGTACTGCCAGTTCTTTCTCATTTCGCATACAGAAGTATAAGTAGGCTCCATTCGGCTGAGACGCTCGGAGCATGTAGATGGCTACGAGGGCAAAGCCTTGAACAGTAGACACGTTCATGCTGCTGCACATATGCTTCAAAAGCACATCCCGAGCAGTATTGAACCAGGCTTCTGCCTTTTCCTCTAATCGCTCTTGGGCGCCGATCGCAAGGACCAGATAGAAGACGGCAGCTGCAGCATCGTCTGAACTCGAATTCCTGCTGCCTGCCCATGCTTTCAGTTCGGGAGCAAGATCCTCTCGTTGGAAGAGCTGAACGAGGCCACTACTTGCAGCCATGAACTCGTTGACTAGTGCGTCGACCTGATGCACATCAATAGGAGGACATGAATGTTGATCCGCTGAATCAGGCCGAGCGATCTCAATGATGGGGTCGCGTGTAGCTTGAACAGTAGCTCTTGGGTCCACCTCGGATGTGATGAGATGCCTGACTGTCTGCAGAAAAGATAGCGGGGCGCAGTCGCCAATGAATATAGACTTTCCCTGGGCGTCACGGAGGATGCGACCCTCAAGAGGCACCACTGTATCGCCTTGTTGATCATCTCTGCTCAATGTTGGTGAGAGTGATGTTCCATCCTCGGCAGCTTCGCGATCAAGTCTTTGTCGCACAGCATCGTCCTGTTCATCTCGATCGCGATTATGAGGTGTATGGCCAGTTGAACGGGGGTGATGACGGTGGATATCGTCGGAACGAACACCGTGAAGGGGAGTGTGGCCGGCAGAATGCGCTTGTGGGCGTGCATGAGGGCCGCTGAACGTGCAAGTAGCCGCACGATCCTTCCGAGTGCAATAGGCGCATGGTTGCTCACCGTCGCACTTTACCTTTCTTTTCTTGCACAGATCGCAGGCCGCTGCGACGCGCTCAAGTCTGCGCCGTTTCTCTGGACGCGTCGTTGCCAGTGCATCCGGTGTTGACATCTCGTGGAATAATGTCGCGTCAGCTAAGTGCGAATAGTTAGCAATCGGCTACCAGAGCGCGCGGCTGCACCCTGAGGTGAAAGGAAACACTCGACGGAACATCCGACGAAGCTGAAGCGTCGGACGGATGCGAGCTTCGGCTGAAGACGGGCTTGTACTGCGCTAAGACTTGGGCCGAAGCACAGACGTCATCGCGCGGACTCTTTCCGATCATCTGTCCGGCACCGCGTTCATCGGACAATTCTTCTACACCTGCGCATGATCGCGATTGTGTTGGGCATGCTGTATAGTAGTGTCTTCTGAGCTAATCGTCTAGCGAAGGGACATGTCATGTATACACCTGCCCAATAGCTTCAACGCCACCACTTCCATGAACGCTTCTCAACGCGTTGCAAGCCTCGCTTCTCAAGCGCGCCCTTCTCATGCCCAACGCCAATTGTCCAGACCAACGCGCTCAATATCTCCCCGTCAACAACACCATCTACCTCCCTTAGACCCCTCTCCTCGAACCCCAACCTCTTCAGAACATTTGCGCTTGCTGTATTCTCCGGTTTGCAAAAACCGCAAAACTCCTTGAGTCCTTTCTCGTCTGTGTAGTACTCCATCAAGCCCGCTGCAGCTTCAGTAGCGTACCCGTTTCCAAGGTACCGGGGGCGGAAAGTGAACCCGACATCTGGGATCGTTGGTGCGGACGGTTCGGACGGGAAGCGCGCGAGTTGCATTGACACGATGCCGATTGGCGTTAGTCGTCTCTTCGAGAAAGGGACGTTTTCGTCTTCGTGCGGTGAATTGATGTTCAAAGCTGAGTTTTGTCTGAGCGAGACCAGGTAGCGACCATAGCCTGTTTGCTCCATCCTCTCAATATCCTTCGCGATGAAGTTCTTCCCAACATCGCGAGGGGGTGTGATCTCTGTCTTTTCCGCATCGACTGCGGGCTTCTGCTCAGCGGGACCTGGGCTAAACACTAGCTCGTATGCGAAATCGCAATGAGCATCGTCCTCAGGGTTAAGGTGGGATATGAAGAGACGAGGTGTTGTGAGGTGGAAGTCAAAGTCAAGCATTGTGTTCACAGCAGAGAGAGCTTGTTTGATGGCCAATTTGTGCTGCATGCGTTTTGTTTTTAACACACTCGTTGATGGCTGCCTAGAGATGCGAGGAATGGCTCAAGTAAATCGGGTTTAGCCTAAACGTAACTGATCCTTCGCGCCACCACCAGATGGCGGAATCATGCAGCAACATTTCTTCGCGTGATGATAAGAAGCAACGAAGACGATTGATTGGTAATTCTAAATGGGTATATCATGCTACTGAAAGATACCCATATAGCATATGCAAGATTCTGAAAGTCTAAGGCGCCGTCTGTGTCGCAGTCGCCGCATTCCGCCAGTAGGCATGAGCTTGCATGGCTGGAGTGGTTGTCGCTGGAACGTCATCGTAACACCTGCCAAACCAGCCCTTCGAGGTGCAAGTAGTTGTCGGTGCAGCTGATGTAGTAGTGGTCGTAGCAGACGTAATAGGACCGGTAGCTGTCGTCTTGTCTTTGCAGCCGAACCATCCGGGCTTCAAGGAGTTAGTCATGTTCGCACTGTTTTGAGGTTCTGGAACTCACTGTTTGACAGGTACTTGTACTTGTGCTAGTTGCAGTACTTGATACGCTGGACGATGTAGTTGATACCATCGTAGTAGTCTCATCACGACATCCCCACCACCCAGGCGTCTTACATGTCTCCGTCCGCGTCCTCGATGATGTGGTACTTGTTGGTGTTGTAGAAGTACTCGTTGTCGTGGTTTTCGTCCCGTTCTCGAACTTCCATAGGTAGCAATCGACACAACCAACATCCTCTTCTTGGCATTTTGCTGCCTCGTCGTACTTCATGTACACGTTGTCAATGGCGTATCTAAGGCTGTGTGTCTGTGTGTTCTGCCTCCAACCCCAGTCTTTGACCACGTCGTATGCACACTTCTTTCCGGTATGGCAAAGGGTCTCAAAGGCGTATCCGCCAATAGAGCAGAAACTCGTCGCACCGTTGCAAGTTCCCATGTACACGGGGTCAGCGGTGTGCCCGAAATGGAAGCCACCTGTATTCTTCCTGAGTGGAGCAACGTCACCAGCAGCTGGTAGTCCTAAGCGCTTAGCTGCTAAGGCTTGTGGGTATGCTTCAAACGTCACCGCGGGGATACCGTGCTGCAGGCCGATCAGAGAAGCGAGGACGCCTCCTAGACTGTGCCCTGTCGTCATGATGTGTGCATCCGGATAGATTTTGACAACCTCCTGATACAGCTCGACAGTTGCGGCATAGTACCTGTTCGGCTTCCGTAACTCGTTCTTGACGCATTGCTCGTCGCAGCTGTAGGTGCCAGTCTGGCAGTCGCATACCTTGCGCCAAAGATATGTGCCGCCCTGGCCGCAACAGCAAGAGCCGTACAGGTTGTCGTTCTCTTTGTCGTGCACGGACGTTCCGTCGCCTTCGAACATGGCTACCGTCGTTCCCTTTACCGCCAGAATGATGGTGGAGTTAGTGTCGTCGCTGAACACATGGCCTCGGATGCCACTGTCATCCCAGCCAAAAGGGACCGACGAGTTGTAATGCCCATCGACGTCCATCCATCCTGCGTCGTCAGGGCCGATTTTGTAAGCATCTTCGGACATGTTTGCGAAACTGATAACGGTGTTCTTGTCCGTGACATCCGGACCCGGAATATCCTCGGCGATCCACATGGGCGACATGGGGATCTGTGCATCGTAGCCACGTAACGCGGGCCTTTCTATCTTGACTGGTGCCGACTTGATAGTGAAGGGCCCGATGCGGGAGTCGATACCAGCAACGGCAAACCGCTCTGGAGTCACATCGAATCTTCGTGCTCGTGGCCCAGGTTGTCCAGCGCCGTGATCCAAAAGGTGGCGCAGAGTGAAGCCGCTTGGTCTTGATGATGTCTTAGTTGTGGTTTCCGCTAAGGCGGTCGGCTCACGGGGGTTGCCATAGCTAGTGTAAGTCCAGAAGATGCAGGCAAGCAACGCGACCTGCGCGAAGACGCCAAAGGCGAAGAGAATGGTAGAGGGCCTGCTCCGATGATTAAGAGTCGAGTTTGATGGCATGATTTGTGGACATTGCAGAAGAGACAACAGGGCGAGAGAGACGGGACTGTTATGATAAGCGCGGCGATGGCTGAGTCGCCGCTGCGCACGGGCGTAGATGGCTCGTGATGGGAACGCTATGCCCGATTCCGTTAGCAGCTTATGCTACGTCACGCGTGCTTCATCCACGCGCACATCTCATCCGACGTGGATTACTTCACGACTCGCGAACAACGTGAAAGTCATCGAGCAACAACACGAAACTCTTTGAGCGCCTGATGTACCGATAGGCTATCGTTGCATATCATTAATATAGTTTGAGCGGAACGCGTCCCGCCGCTATTGCACCGGCAGCCGGCCAGGGACGATCAATGCACTGCAGCACATCAGCACGGTGCAACTGCCGGTTTCTGTTTTCCACGCTGGGCTCTGTCAAGAGACCGTGTGAGGCGTGACAACACGTCGTATCGCGGCGCGGGCTTTGAGCTCCACTAACTCCGGACCGTTGAGTCCTGGTCTTCCTGTTGAAACATCGTCAATGTGTTGAAGCTTCCTTTTCCATATCATCTCAGTAATCATCGATCATGGCTTTTCCCAAGCCGCTTCTTTATCCCTTGTAAGGTCGCCGGCACAGCGTTGGACAAACTGATTGCCGCACAGACTGCGCCACAGGTTACGGGAATGACATGGCTGGTCTTACAGCCATCCAGATACCCTCTCAATACCTGATCAAGCTCATGACCTGAGAACAGCCCGCGGATCTGCGTCGCGCCAGCATCCATTATCTCCTTCGCGTCCAGTTCGGGCAGGTTGCGGGCGAGGCTTGAAAGCAGTCCGTTCGTGAATGCCGCTTCACTCGATGCTACGGAGAATACAGTACCAGTATTTTCCATGAAGAGCGACATCGATGTTACAGCGGCTAGGTCGTCTGCAGAAACGAGAGCCTGATTGGCAATCATCGGGATCTGAAGAGCGAGGCCGACTCCCGTGGCTGTCAAAAGCTCGAAGCCGACCCAGTCTCTAGTTGGTGTGCTGGCATCCAAGGAGTGTATCTTTATGTTTCCAGCTACGGCCAAGATTGCGCCGACAAAGAAGAAGGGCTTATAGTGGCGCCAGAAGGTGAGGGTTCCGTTAGATATCATAGTGAAGAGTGAGACGCCCATGACGAGTGGAATAAGTCGGACTCCACTCTGCGAAGCCGTGTTGTTGTTGACAGATTGGAACTGGATTGGCAGTGTATACATGAGCGGAAAGAAGGCGCCCGCAATGAAGGATGCATATAGCAGATTGGCGAAGACCAGTTTGTTCTTGAACACGCGAGCTTGTACCATCGCGCAGCTCCCCATGTAGCGTTCGTTGATCGCGAAGCAGATGAAAAGGCCCACGAAACCGATAAAGCTGCCAATGATACGAGCACTAGTCGGAGGCATGATGCCGATCCAGTGCGTGGCTAGGATGAAGCAAGAGAAGCATCCGGATAGCAAGATGGCGCCGTTAAGGTCCAAATTCAGGAGCTTCTCGCGGAGAGGTACATCCTTGGGCTTGCCAGGGTCATGGAAACAGAGGAACATCGTGAGCGCAGCAGCGAAACCAATCGGTAGGCTGATCCTGTGTAGTGTCAGCACACCGACCTTGACTTTATAATGCCTGCGTGGTTTCCATCCACGCGCAAAACATTTGGTGGAGAGTGTGTTGTAGACGGTAAAGCAGCCAAAACACAGATCGGGGTTCACGTACCAAAAGCAATATCGCCATCCAGGGCCGTCTGTCAGAACGCCACCCAACAATGGTCCCACGACGCTTGCAGATCCAAAAGTCACGCCAAACACGCCCATATAGGCGGCCCTGTATTGCGGTCCAGCTGTCATTGCGACGATGATGAACGCACCCGTCATCACTCCGCCACCGCCCATGCCAGACACGATCCTCCCGAAGATCAAAACCTCGCTTGTTGGTGCAGTTGCGCATATTACATTACCGATCTCAAACACTGCAATTGCAGACATGAAGGTGGCTTTGAGGCTGAAGTACTGGTAGGCTTTGCCCCACGCAGATTGAAATGCGGTGTTGGTAATTGCGTAGGACGAGCCATACCAGGCCAGGCTGCTGATGCTACGGAATTGCGTGGTGATGCTCGGGATTGCGGTAGCGATGATTGTTGAATCCAAAGCAGCGAGAAAGATGGAGAGAGCGAGGCCGACAGTTATCAAAGCCAAGCGGATACCACGCGGGTATTGAACGGGTGGTGTAGCATCCTCTGGTGGGGTGTCAACCTTGGACGCTCCAAGGTTGGTGAGTTCTACAGGTTCGTCGCTCATGATGTCGTGCCTTGAGGCGATTTCGTCGAAAAATATGAGGTTAGAGATGGACATTCGAGATTGCTGGCCGTGTCGGTCATGTAGGGCGTAGTGTCAGCGCTAGGAGTCGGAATAGGTCAAGTGTCGGGATAAAAGCTTCCTCGGCAGGTGCTTACACCGAGCCTTGACACACAAACTCCTTCCTTCGCTCTTTGGAGCTCAGCAGGCTTAGCGGAACTAACAATCGACATGAAGCTTTGGAGCTGTTAGGGAGGGATTCGCTGCGAGTCTGAACTGGCAGGCGATGCAAATATGGGCTTGGATTGAAGTACGAATAGAACGTGTGCGTCGGGGACGACCAGAATTCTATCATAACCGCGTTTGATGTCACAGACGATGCTGTGTAATACTGTACCTAGGTACCGCTACTACTGCGTCTATTCTAGCCCGTCGGTACCTAGGCAAGACCGTGTGCTGCGATAGCTATACCTCCTGTTGCAGTCTACAAAAGCATTAGAAAATGTTGAATATATCTTTCAAGGTAGAAGTATACATCGTATTAGGAGCTAGCTACTTCTTAATATATAATGATGTGTATGCAGCAAACACGACACAGATTCTAGCCACCCTTGCAACACGGGCAGAGAGATATGCACACAGCCTATTGATACGAGTCTTCTTCGCTGGA